GTTTGAAAAATAGGTATATTAAGAATGAGCTTGTATTTTCACAGCCAGTTTTGGGGGATTTTTTTTGCTTACGTTACTCACTTTCTAAATCCAGTCAGGGAATTTTCTGGGGCCTGTTTTGCTCTCTTATCATGCACATTCACAAGGCTTTAATGAAAAACCTACTTATCAGGGAGGCTGCATGATTAACTGTTGACTATGTTCTTCTAACTGTGAAGGGAAAGACATAGAGCCCTGTGGGGCTTTATAGTTAATTATGGAATTTTTCAAAATTATGAGTATCCCTAAATAAAAGCAAGTGGTTACACCTAAATGAGTTCTAAATTATCAAGTTACAAAAAGGATATTCTGCCTTTCAGTGATACTGGAACTAAACAGAGACTCTGGGCACTGAATTTAGACCCATAAAGCTTTAACAAGACTTCTGAATTTAAAAACATGGACCATTACTATTTGAACCTCAGCATCAGCATCGGTAGCTTGAAGGCAATAGATGATTCCAAACGCTATACAAAGACCCACTACTGGTCTAAGTGATCTGTAGAAGAGCACGAAATGCCCTTTCACATTACGAGTCGGTTGCAAAGCTACGTACAATTAAGTCACATTAATATTGTGTTAACTTCTCCTCCAGGTCTTAGTGTTTTCTGTTGTAGGGTACTGATATCTCTGCTTTTAACAGCATGGAAAACAATGTTTTACGTGCTGAAGCTGTAATAGTACAGTTCTGTTCAGCTGAAATCTAGTTAAGCAGAGTATATGCTATTTTTCATGAAAAACTTAACAATTCCTAGGATTGTCTTTTTCAGGATTTTCTTTAATGTTAGCCCAGGTAAGGCTAACTGGAAATTCAGAACATTGTATGTCTGCTCTCCCCGTGGGTATTTTGCTGCCAGGTGACAGAACTGTACTTTTACTGCCTTTCTTTTTTACCAGTTAGCAATAAGCCACATGGAGCTATAATAACAGCATATATAGCTTTTGTCGCCCAGAAGGTCAGATGGTAAAATATCTACCAGTGCCTTCCCCAGTAAGAGATGCTCCTGCAGTTTAGGTAAATTAACAAGTTTTACAAATTTAGCCAGCATGGATTTTTTAATAGGCTCCAAAATAACCGGAAGTATTTACAGAAGTCTGCGCACATTCTGCTGTAGTCCTTTCAAAAGCTGATTTCTCATGTTAAACTATTTTTCATAGTTTAAGTACTTGCACATTGAAATGTTCCCATCACCGAGGGCAAGTGAGAGGTAGTAGGTAGACCATAGTTAACATTAATGATGTTTTACAAATAAAAACATAACTTAATCCTTTTATTACAGGACTGAGGAGTTATACAATTTCTGTACAGTTACAATGTGTGATACCTGTCCTTTGACTCTCTTTACAATGTTTTCCATATTTTACAGCATTTTTGGTTGTGATAATGGTTTCCTGCATTTTCTTCCTAATACATGTCCACTTTTAATAAAGAAAGGAGGAAATGTGGGCGTCACTCAGAAGTACCGAATGTGGAGTTGGGATAAACTGCATAATTGATTGTAGAGATACTCTCTCTAGGTACCTTTCCTTGGTAGAGTGTATTTAGTCAGACTGAGATATAATTTCTAATGTAATGGATATTATATGACAAGATAGCCTATTAATTCCTATTTCAGTAGGCTTAACATCTGAGAAAAATGAAATAATCAAAGTCACAACTTTTCAGTGCACTGGTCCCAACTTTTACTGTAAGGTGAAGATATACTGTATAGCTTGTATATAGTACGTAGTGAAGAAATTCTATAGCTAAGAATTGGGACAGCTGTTTTAAATATAAAACAAATAAAATGAAATATTTTTCATGTTATTAATGGGAATTCTGGGACTTAACATAGAATTTATTAACTGCTTGTTAGAAATGTTATTACAATGACTCAATCAAAATATCAATCTTCAATGCTAGATTAAATTAAACTGTAATCTTGCTTTCTTATATATATCCCCATAAATCCAAATAACTTTAGTAAGTCAGTGAAGTTAAATCTTTACTTACACTAATATTAATTAGTGTACATGTGGTCAAGTTGATTCTTTTGCACAATAAAACAGAGTATCTACAAATCTACATTATGTGATATTTTGTTAACTTACTAAAGAAATTACTGTTTGTAGTCAAAGATGCCTTTCCAGGCTTAGACACCTTCAAACTTTGTTGCTAACACTGTAAAATAAACATTTCAAGAATCACTTTGCTGACTTTAATATATTCTTTTTTCCGTGTGACAGTGTCTGTTTTAGGTGATTAAATAAAGATTATCTGGGGCCATAATTAGGGAGGAAAACTACTGAATCCTGAATGGGTGTATAAGAGATCTTTAGTCATCCAAAGTGGCCCCTTAAAGGGCCGATCTGAAATAACCTGAAGTTGCCGTTCATTTCTCAAGCTGGAGGATATTGAGGAAAAGGTGGGTTGTCCTAAAATGCGTGTTAAGTACCAGAGATAAATTAGTTGGTTGTTTTTAAGGGATGCCTTAGAAGTGAGATCATTATGGGGAGGAGATAGGATGGGAATTATCTTTGTGGTGTCAGCACATCAGGAGGATTTCATAATAATGAAACATTCTTGGGCAAATTTGGAAGAAATTAGAACAGTCCCAATTTGGAAAGAGAAGCATAATAGTAAGAAACTGATACAAATAGAACTCCCCATTTCTCATGACTCTCAGATCCTGGTTTCCTAACACAATATAATGAGTAAGTAATAACAGCTCAATTTCATGGTCTTCACTAGTAGCAGTTGAGTCTTGCTCACAAAGGAGAAAGTTTGAAACCCAAATCATTCCCCCACAACAATGGCTGTGCGTTAGCGTTTTACTACTCATGTTTACTGTTTAAATTATAGCAGAGCCAACAGTCAGTGCTGTCTGAAGCACTATGCTATTTTTAAGAGATGAATGGTTCTGCAAGGCAGTAACATACCTAATTAAGGAACCTATACTCCTACATTTAACTCGATTCAGTAGCCCCCACGCTTAAAATCTAAACTTTGGCGTTCTGGTTGAGTTCTGTCACAATATGAACCAAAAGCATTTTAGTCATAGGTCCTATGAAGGAGGGTAGTGAAAGCACACCTGAAATTAGCTTGATCTAGTTAGAATCAAAGGGACCTTTTCATCAAGTAGGGTGGAGGGAAAATTATGGAGAACAATGATATAATTGCAGGATCTGAAAGAATTGGGAATAGTATCAGAGAAGGAAGCCTATGGCTAAGTGGCAGCATTAATGATGAGTACTTAAAAGGTAATGGAGCCTGCAGTGATTTGCGTGGCAATAAGCTAGAGCTAAACCATTACATTCAAAATACTATGTTAACTGTAACTGTCAGATAGCCATAAATTCTAAGAATATTGCACAAGATATTCAGAGCTAGCTGCTTCTCATTAAGTTGTAACCAATACAACACAACACACCAAAGAACATCAGGGAAAACCGTAACTTTGCCTTAACTTTGTGTTTTGTTTGGCTGGTGAGGGAGATGGGTTTTATTTCCCCATTAATGATTTATTACTTCCCATGAGCACTAGGAATAGATGTAAATTTGTAAATTGGCCTTTATTATTTCTGAAGCCAGAAAGTGTTAACAGATGCACAATTATGGTATATTACCATACACAGACGTTTAGCATGTCTCATCAAAGGAAAGTTGTTGCAATGTTGGTTATAACAACTAGTTATAAAACTTGCATTAATCTTTGGTTTTGTTACTCATTTCTGTGACAATTTTAGTGATTAACTAAGTGCTAATTATAAATTGTCAAAAATATTTGTTTTATAAAATAGATTTCAGAGTAGCATGCGTGTGGAAGAAAGGAGGAGGGAAGTGTCACATGCAAAAACAGGATGCAACAAGTGAAGCACACAGATAGCATGGGAGAGAAAGTAAGCAAATTGTGAAGTGACTAGAAATTTGGGATTGGTATACATGCAGAGAGAATTTTTAACTAGTTTCAGAAATTCAAAGGGAAACTAACCTCTTTGTAAGTAATTGTTCTCTAATAATGTACTTTGAGTAAACTACCAGAAAATACAAAATGGTATGTTATGCACTGATATAAAGATATCAGAAAGAGGAACAAAATTAACTTTCTTTTTAAAAAGGTTTTTTACTTTTTATGGGTAAAATGATCATCTCAAAAACATAAGGGAGACATTTTTTCCCCTCTGCTCAGTACTGATGAGGCCAAATCTGGAAAGTTGAGTCTAGTTCTGGGCTTCTAAGTAGAAGAGAGACATGGCCATGCTGAAGTGAGTCCAGCAAAGGGCCGCAAAGAAAATTAAGGGTTTGGAGCATCTGTCGTGCAAGGAGAGGCAAGAGAGGTGGGACTGGTTAGCCTGGAGAAGAGAAGGCCCAGGGCGATCTGAGCAATGTGTATAAATATCTGATGGGGGGAGTAAAGGAGACAGAGCCAGACTCTTCTCAGTGGTTCCCCGTGACAGGCCAAGAGGCAATGAGCACAAACTGAAATACAGGAAATTCCAAGTAAACATCAGAAAAAAACTTTTTGTACTATAGAACAGGCCACTCAGGCAGGTTGTGGAGACTCCATCCTTGGAGATTATTCAGAACCTGAGCGGACAGTGTCCTGGGCAACGTGCTCCAGGTGACCCTGCTTTGAGCAGAGGGGTTGGATTAGAAAATCTCCAGAAGTCCCTTCCAACCTTTAAACTTTCTCTCCTCCCTCTCTACCCTGATATTTTTCATCCTGGCAATATCAATGATGTGTTTATACTTCCTCAGTGTCTCATCTCCTTCCTTCAGCTAACATTATTATCAGTTTAATTCAATTTCCGAAGACTTGTGTTTTCAGCTGAACAATACAGAGACTAGACTTTGTTGCAGTACAGGACATAGCAATTGGTGTTTATTATTGCTCTGTGTTTATGAGCGCCCCTAACTGATGCCACGAAAATAAAGGAGGTATTTTGGTAACCACAAGTAGCTCCAGTTAAATAACCACTAGAGTAAAGACTATTAGCTCTGATTAGACTAAGAATAAGAGAAAATACTACTATGGCTGGCTTAATCAAAGTGAAAAGGCAGAGTTCTTCTGCAGAATTCTTCTTCGTAGGAAATGTGCCATGATAAAGGAGTGCGTTTTGAAAGTTCTCTTCTGCTCCTGAAATGACAGATTAGAGTGGACATAGGCAAGTTTCATGAACTGAATTCTTGTTGATACCCAGCATCTCCAAGGAAAACACTCTGGTAAGGCACAGGAGGTGGAAAGGAGGAAAGCTGACAAGTAGTAATAATATTTGTGAAAACTTCATAAGGACTTCCTAATGATAAGTTTGGTATTAATGCCTACAGAAGCTGAAATCTCTGCAGACCTCTTATAATAAATATAATTAGTAAGGATTCCAGAAGAAGTGTTGCATGGTAGTTACTCCCTGGGGAATGTATATTCTATCTGTGACTCACTGCCTGATTATAGTTTCTCTCTGGAAACAGGAGACCATTTTTAATGGACATTGACTGTCATCTGTGACTTACAAGGCTTTATTGGTTTCTTTCTTTTTTTAAAAAACAACTATGTTTCCCACTTGTACTTTTCGCATGAGTAACTCACAGATGTCAGGTTTGGGGTATTTCCGGAATTCAAAGTGTAGCTTCTTGACCTAGCAACTACAACAATTTGATTGCATTATATTACACAGCACAAGGCTTTATTGTGTTACCACTTGTTATGTGACATTAATTTCAGTTATCAGCAAGCTATAATATTAGAAAAGTAAGCCTCTCCCTATTTTTCAGTATGAAACAGCACCCCATAGTAAATTGTGTTGTTGTTTTCTTTAAACTCTAGATGTGAAAAGCAATTCCTGATTTGTGGAACCGATTTGCAGCTGAAATGAACCGTCCTAAGGAGGAATGGCGTAGGGATGCTTTTGTATTTCCAGGTATCTGACTAGGATAGTGCTATTATTATTAGTCTTTGCTGACAGAAGGGTGACAGTTTTTATCAGTTTAGAAGTTTAAAAGAAAGAACTGCAGCAAAGCAATTCTGAAGCAGATTCACGTAACATTGTCTCAGTTATAGAAGCTTTTCTACTAAGTGATGGTCTTCCTTAAAGATATGATAACCTCCCGGTACCTTTAGGGGAATATAGAAGTAATGAATCTTTGGAGGTCCATGAAAATATCTGTAGGATGAGATAAAAATCTTTCAGTTTACTAGTTGAGGAGAATCATACATTAAGGTTAACTTGGTGACGTGCTGACAAGTTGAAAGACTAGACTGGAATGGTGCTGCAGTCTCTAAGAATCTGATTTACAGCAGGATTAGAATTTCATAATTTGTACTATGATATTTAGTGATTGCTATACCTTTCAATATTTACTTATCACGTAACACAGAACTTCTTTTACCATACCCAAAGGGAAAATATTTGAATGTGACTTGCTAAAATTGACCTTTGCCTACACATTGTGACTTTTACATGGCAGTATTATGATAAACTGACTCCGGCTTCAGATTTATTACTCAACCCTGACCTTTGGTTATATTAGAATATTGCTTTCAACCAGACTAAATAATAATGTCACTGTGAATGTTAGGAACTGGCAGATCCGAGATGTCAATTGCCAGCTCAATTTTCCTTTCACCTGGGAGTACAACGTGTCACAGTGCTTTATTGATCTAAGAGCCATTACAGTCCAGTGTTATAACTCTTCAGATTTCCACACAGTGCTGCATAGTGCACTGTAAAAGAAATGAAGGTGAGCGTGACTTCAGTTAAGATTGGTGAAAATTTCATTAGAATTGTACTTAGTTTAAAATTATTTTTCTTCCTAACTTGGAATATGCAGTCAAAATTTCCTGGAAAAGAAAGCTATTAAAAAGACCTTTCCAAAAGTGGTATTGTTTATTATTTTTAGTATAGTCTGGAAACAAACTGTTTTTGAGATTGAAGTGCTTCATTTTGATGTGATTGAAAAGCTTCACAGAATTGCATTGTTGCAGCTACATTACATTATTGTTAAGTACAGTATATTAAAATATTTTGATTTCATGAAAGAATGTGATAGTTTAAATGAAGGACTACACCTTCCTGGGAAGAATCATCTTGAGATTTTTTTTCTAAGTATCAGTGACTTTGATCCACTTTGGTGATATGTTTTGATTTAATCAAATCAGTGTGCTCTGATAGAAACTGTCTAAGCAGTTGGAAAATTTTCCTTCTGCTGTAAATTACAGAGTAATATTGAATAAAATATCTCCTTGTCACTTCTGCTCATCACACTTCAGAAGAATGACTGTATTTCTGTGTAAGAATGTCTTTGAAGGGTTACAGTAGCTTCATGTGCATTTTCTTCTCAGATAGTGACTGAAGTCAGTGGAATTTTTACTTCAGAAAGGACTAAGATTATAATCCTGCAAAAACTTAAATTCCTAAATTAATAATTCATTTATTTAGCATCTACATAAAGATTAAACAGTTTGGCTTTACTGTTTTTACACAATTGGTAGCAGGATTCATCTGAATATTTAAGTTCATGTGTACTAGCTTTTAGTCTGTGGCATGTTCATAAGCATGTTAGTTGCTATAAGTCTTAAACTAAGTAAATATGCCATATGCTTCAGTCTACTTTGCTTCTGAGCAGAGCAGAGCAGAGCAGCTTATTTTTCCTTTTTATGAGACTCTAAATTTTCTGTTAATGTTTTAATATTTAATGTGAAGATTAAGCTATGTTGTCTCCTTCCAAATTATTTTTTAATGTGTTTTAATGTCGACTGAAACTATAGTTAATAGGTAGGTAGGTAGCCATAATACAGAGGTGTTTTAACAAGGTATTTTTTGGAAAACACATTGTTGATTTCTTTTACTCTTACCATGACATTGAATTAGCAGTGGAAGAAAAAAGACTAATTACTCAATGGATTACCTCTGTATAGTTTTGTGATTTAATATTTCATTCAACCTAAATATATATTAGTGTTTATTTTTTTAGCATGTTTAGGCAGCTTTGCATGCTGATTTTGAGTGCACGTTTTTCCTTTCTTACTAATGATGAATAGGAACACTCTTCAGAACCTATAAGAGCAATTTAATAATGGAGGTGATAAGTGACACAAAAATCATTGATATTGTCTTAAAAATAGCAATGACTGTAAAATTCCCATTTGTACAAACTAGCTTTGTGATTGTTATACTTAAGTACTGTAAGTAGTGTTTTATGCTTGTAAACATCATCTTTAAACTCACTAGTAATCTTTCCAACATCACTAAGAGGTCACTTTAGTTGTCTGTCTTTAAAATCAGGCCCATTTACAACAGGTACAGGATTTCATTCGTTTGTTGGAGGGAACAAGTTAGCTATAAAATGTTCATGTTAAAGCAGAGGTGCTTTCTGGGAAAAAAATTCAATATGTGATGCCATGAAAGCAGCCATCAATCAGCAAAAATGGTTGTAGAAAAAGATTCCATCAGCTATTGCTTATTTCCTTCTACTGATTGATCTGATGAAGCCAGTGCAGCAGAAACATTTTGTTACTCCAAGCACTCAAAACTTAATCTCATTAAAAAAAAAAAAAAGGATGGGGGCAATCAACTGTCATTTTCAGCTTTTTAGAAGACTCTGCCTCTTATTTTACAAAACAAATACTTGTTCATATTATGATAGGAGGAAATAAAAATGCAACTTCTGTCTAGAAATTACTGCTTAGCTTATTGCTGCTTTATGAGCATTTCTTCCCCCTGACTGAGAACATAGTTTAATTGCTCAATAAACTCTTAAGGATTTAAGACAAAAAAATCTACAATAAAATTAAATGAGATTTAAAAAAAAGTAGGCTAAACAGTGTGTCAGTTCATTACACTAGTTTTGGCTTTTTGGAAACTGAGAACTATAGGGACAGATTCATTAAAACTATATTGATGTTGAATGAAGTTGAGGCAGCGTTTTGTCCTAAGTTTACCTGGTATTCAAACTGAGCCAAGCTCTGCAAAAAATGCTGTGGAACTGATCACTCCTGGGGATATGAGTTCTGTAGTCAGGAATAACCCCGTCTTCCCAAAGAAAGGAAGAGAGGCAGAGGTTATAACACCCTCTTGTTTGGGAGGCGGTGGGGGGTGACTGTGAAACTTTCTCTGTCAGCTTCTTTTACTGGGCGATGACAAGGTGGACAAACAGATTTCTCTGTCCCTGCTCAGATATTCAAAAATTAATGAAAAAAGACAGTAAAGCTGAGATCTTAAAGCTCCTGAGAAGGAGGTGTTGGAGACGCACCACAGGGAAAGAATCTTTGCCTATGGCATTCTTGCAGATTCACAGGATTCATGAATAAAGCCTGTGCCTAACAGTTTGAGGTGATGGCACTCCATGAAAACTCCCAGCAGCCATTTCTTTCCTCTGCAGGATATGCATTTTATTTCTGTCCCAGAAGAATGCTCCATTTTCTTTAACCTTCGGACCAGGGCATGTTTTCAGACCAACTTTAGCATCCTGTCAAAACAAAACGTAGTTTTTTCAGGGCCTGATGCCAGAGGAAGACCAGAGGGGTGGGCCTGGGGCTGGCGTTTAGCCGGGGTCTTCCCCCTTGTCCTCCTCACATGGGAAATGGGCACTTCTGCTTCTGAGTAGGACGTAAGTGGGGCAGCAGGAGCTGTTCCCCTGGGCTGGAGGACAGTAAGTAGCAGGCAGCAATGGTGCAGAGAAGAGACTGCTAGAAACAGTGGTATTATTAGTCAGCCTGATATCAGACTGACAGCTTCAAGCTCCATCATGTAGCATTTCGGTACAAAATAAAATCAGAATGATATTTTGCCTCTTTTTTTTTTTTTTTTAAGAATGACATATTCAAAGCAAAGCGTAGGTGCTTTATTAGAAAGTGTGATGCTAAATTTAAATCATGATTCCTTTTTTGGGATCCTGGCTGAGGTTAAAACATATTGACAAGAGAAATATGACCATTTTTACATATGCTTTCAGTTTTTAATAAATTTCACTTTATTCATTCTAGAAGTTGGAGAAGAAAGAATTCCATAATAATAAGCCTAACCTGAGTAACCAAGATAAGCTCACTGTTCCTACCATCATCTTCAAACATGTTTAAATCAAGGTTTGGATCTGGATCAGAACTCCAGAGTGAGGAAGTAGAATTTTTTCTTGAAGGTTGAACTAGAGTGCCAGGATATACCACTGAGTCTTAGACATACTTTATGTTAGGGAAGTTTAAATCTTCATTTGAATATGCAAGACAAAATTGTTGAATTTATTGCAATTCTAATGATTATTAAATTTAGATTCCATTTTGTAATTTTTTTTATAATTATATTTAATGCTCTTGTACATTTCCTCCTTGGTGAGTGGTTGCATCATAACAAAACAGAAAATGGTTTACGACTGTTAAGCAAAAGGTGGGGCAGATTTTGAGTCACTGACCATGTTAGGGTGACCTAACCTACCAACAGGCAACACTGTTCTGGCCTTTGGCTACTCCTTTTGACACCTATAGCTTTCTGAAATGTATCATCGGATGTCCTCTGAATATTTATATTAATTTAAATACATGAATGAAGTATATGGAAAAAATATCTTTTATAGAAATTGAAAATGAAAGAAAGACCCAACTGAGAAAAGCACTGGAAAAATGACATATATTACTGTTTCTCCCCAGAAGAGAAATATTAAATAATATTTTACCTATGGCAATCCTATAGTATGCAGTTAGGGGTAAGTAAGTTGACGTTGCAATCAGTGTTCGTGGTTGTAATTCCACTAACACACCTTTTGTACTTGAGAGAAAGGAAAGAATATCTATTTTAATTTACACTTTGTAGAAGCAGTGGCTTCAAAACCATCCATTAGCATAGGGCAGGCTCAAGGCTTAGAAGAAAATGAAGAAAGTAATGGAAATTAATGGCCTAATGTTGCAGCTGCCAGATTGCAGAAATCCTGTTGACTTGAATGGGAGTTCTCAGATTACAGCTGAAAAATAAAGATTTTATTTGTGGATTGGTCTCTGATGCCGTTTCTCCTTGTAAATATTTTATGTTATGTGTAAAGAAGTTGGTGATATTCATTTGTCTAGCTACTTGAGGGGCCTTCAGAAAAAAATACCGTCTTCCTTATTTTGTTCTAGAATGTGGTACCTTTCATTAAAAAAGGAAGTCCTTATATATGTACACTGAACATTATCAAGAACATTATGTGAAATTTTTAAAAAAATATATCAAGATGTTGTTGTCTCTTAGATCCAAGGTAAGTTATTAATGTATGAACACAAACAGATCCTCAACAATACTGAGTCCAGGCTGGACTATCATACACTTTAGAGAGACCCCATAGAAGAGTTGTTGCTGTCAACAGTTTGTATGGTCTGTCATGCATTGTTGAATATGCCTTTCTCACCCTACCTTTCAAACAAGATGTTTATTATTAACTCTTTACTGATTTTCTGGGACTCCAACCCTTTACTGCTGTCCTCTCCTACTCTTTATATCTGTCAGGCAAGTTCTCTCCAACTAGCTTTCCAATGAAATTTGGTTAGGCCAAGGTAAAGCAATTCCCAAGCCAGGCACACTGAAAACTTTCTTCTCTCCTCTTTCTCCTCAAGACTGTCAGTGGTAATTGATTGACTTCCTGCAGACAGCATGAGATGTTATGAAATGTCATTGCCTTCTTTTCATAAAATTAGTAAAATTGAATTAGTGTGAAAAGTTTTAATTTGCAATTTGCTGAAATTTGGAGGTATGATCAGGCAATGTAGATCACGCCTAGAGGGATCTGGTATGAAAAGGTGACCAGATGTCTTTAAAAGGCAAAGATCTTGTGGCAGACTTGTAAACCATGAGTCATGGCTAAAGGCCTGTCTGACAGTGATGGAGGGCTGGAGAGTTTTTTGTTTTGAAGAAATGGAAGAGACCTTCGGATACATGTGTACAAAATCGCTTCCCTCTCTATCCAACGCAGTCCGTAGTTGGACCATAGGATTTTAATAGTTCCTAATCATTGGTTATACAAGAAGACACAGTTTATGACTGACACTAAGATGGCAGCCAGCTGTTTATTCTCTCTTCATTTCCTATGTTATTTTGACTTGTTTGTGAGGCAAATGGATCAAGTATCTGTTAATGCAATAGATACAGATGTGCTTGTAATACTTGTGTGTTTGTACAGTAGGTGCGTGAGTAGAGATATGCCTTCCTGCATAGAACTTGTTTTAACAAATGCTCTATGACTTTCTGAATACATTTGTATTATATTTCATTAATGGGAATTTGTATTTCAAGTATTTTCTAAATAATGTCTGAGCAATATAATGTTCTGATAAAGACACTCTCTCATGCACTTCTGTATTTCCAAGCCTTTTAATTGCTGAACACACCTGGAAAGCTTCACCTCCAATGGCCAAGTTGTGAGTGAGAATTAACATTTTCCATTCCAATAGTATTATGCAATCAACAATGCACTCATTCATTTTGAACGAGCGTTACAAATTTTGAAAACACAAAACTAACTTTGATTCTCCTACTTAGTCATTTTCTGGAGCAGCCTCAGGGCTCAGTCTGAAGAATTTTTTCGTGTTTTTTAATATGTAACTTCTAATATGAGGTAGTACTTTTATATTGCGTTGCATTTTAGGAAACCAGGGCTACCAAACTGGCAGAGACTCTACTGTTCTTCAAGAGATATTGGACTTAGACAGAAGCGAAAGGACCTTTTTCTTTTCCTCTGACAGGACAACTGGATCGGTGAATGAAGGTGGCAAAGTACTGAAGAACAGGTACCTATATAATTCATTGTTCATGGTTGTTCTGATTTCTGTAATTGGAATATATTTTTCAATTTATTTACATTCAAGGTGTAAGTGGCTCAGGATACGTACAGCAAATTATCATATAGGTGGTTTATATTGGAAGCTTTATGAGCTGTTATATATCTTGATTTGTTAAAGGAAAATAAAAGAGCTTAAAAGTTGGGCTGAAAGGTGCAAAAAGCAATGCTGCTTCATTTCTCTTATTTGTGAAGCACTGAACTGTAGGGTACCCTAATGATAGCTTGTATTAATTTTAACAAACTTGAAAATCTTGCTGACTAGCGTAATATTTAGGTGCTTTTTCATTCTCAATTTCTTATCAGCCTTTAGCTTTCTGCTGGAAGCACCACATTTGTTCTGTTAGTGTAAACAACTGATTACAAGCAGTGCTGAAATGAAATACTACCACTAATAAAGCTAAGAGGCTTTTGAAAGCTTCATCCCACTCAGTAGAAAAAAATAACAATTAATTCAAATTAAAGTATATGGATTGTGAACATACTGGGTTTATTAATACAAAACGCATTTTTGTGCTGCTTGCTAAATAGCTCCAATTTTGTTAGATACTACTCTACTTCCTAAAACTGGCATTTTCTGGTTCTTGCCTTCTGCTTACACACGAACAGTGGATTTTGTCTTCAGAATCTACCCAAGGGATTTGAAAAAAAATAATGCCTCTTCTCACAGATTGGTCTTTAACTAAAGGTTAACCTGCATAGCAGCTGAAACACTGGTGATCCTGAGTTGTCTCTTGGAAGTGATCTTTAGCCTTTTGTAAGCTGAGCTTTATTTTGCAAAGGCACAGGGGACATATTGTAGAGGAGATGCAGTATAATGCCTGACGTCTTGTATTGGAGAGCTGAAGAACAGAATACAAAAGAGGGAATAATAAGCATTGGGAGAATAGCATGGGGCACAGCAAGTCTCTCCTCTTCACTTAAGCTTAGGAAATAGAAAACCACTGGTGGCTCATTTGAATCCTTAACCCATAGCCAGCATCAGTTGATGTTGCTCCAACATTTGTTTGTTACTCAAGCAGAATATATGCTTCATACATGTGCTGTGAACACTACAGTTCTTAACGCTTCCTTTGGCCGTTGTTTTATATTCTGTTATCTTGGATGAAATTCATCCTGGGAGCAGATGGTGGGTACAGGATGGCATGAAAGCCAATGAAGTTGTCAAAGTAAAACCTAAATGGGACATGAACTGTATTCTGGCCCTCTTTCAAGAGTGAATGTTACCTTTTTCTGCATGAATTTCTGACTCTCTTATTTCTTTGTGAGAGAGCTTCTATTTCCATTAAAAAGTCCTTGAGCTTTGTAGAAATGGATATATATTTTAGTCCTTTATTAGAGAATGTGACAAGAATGCTGACACAGATGTAACGTCTTTCCCTTTTTAGTCTTACATCTTAGTGAGATTGCTTAGGGAAAAAGAAGAAAAAGGAACTACAAAGAGACTAGCACTTCATAATACCTATTTGTAAATAATATCCTTAAAATGGTTTTCCCTTTTTTTGCTGTCCTGTTTCAATATCAGCATATTCCCTAGAGGGACATTCCTCTATCTATATATAATTACCATTTTTTCATTTCCATCCTATGCAAAAGAGTAATCAATATTAACTCTCCATAACTTTTTATTAAAAATAAAGAGTGCATATTACATCCACAGTTATTTGCTACTAACATTGTCTTCATGTGATTTGATCAAAATATAGATAATATCCTGTCTCAAATTTGCAGAAGTTAATATATTCAGCAATAATGATTTTATAAACCTCAAGTTATATAGCTTTTTAAAAAAATATTTAGCACTGAACAATCAATACTTATGTTTTATAATAAAATTCATTTGCTTTTCATTAACTAATGCGGTAGTTTTTACAGAATTTTACTTTTGCACAGCAGATTTTAACACATATGGCAATTCAGTTTTCTGTATACTTCATGAGGGCCACTTTTTCTAAGGGAGCGTAGAGAGTTCAGGAACAAAATTCCGACATACGTATACACAGGCATACACACAAGCACACAGCCTATCTTTATCACATGGTTTGTTTTGACAAAAGCAGAAAGCAAGTATATTGGAGATGAGGGAAACTGCTAGGCTAAACTAAAAATAGTTCTTGTCACTGTGTGAAGAGAGAAACAGGAACCATAGTCACTTTTCCAGGGACATTAAAATGGTCAAGTATTAGAACTGTGTAAGCAAATGTGTACTGCAAGATGGGAATTATTAGAGGCATCTAGCAAAGCTATTGAATATCTTATTGTAAGAGTTTTATACTGATTTCAATTTAGGTCAGTTGCTGAAATTCCCCAGAACTCAAACCAAAACATTATCCTCAACAGTCCTTCTTCAGCAATATTCTGTTATAGGCCCAATGTAACGTTTTAAAAAAATATTTTTAAAATGAAAGAATGGTCTTGCATTTTTTAAAGTACCTTTTAGAGGCACAAATTCAAAGGAAGTGCTTTGTACCAGGATAAATAACTGAAAAGAGAACAGAGTTATTTTGTAACATCCTTTTTATGCTACAGCTTCGATGTGTGATTAGGTATACAGTACACTGTATTATAAATATGCTTCAGCTGAAGGGATGTTCAGTTGGCTGGTAGCACTTTAAATTAGTCACTGTGAACCTCACAGTCAGATAAAACTCATTTTTGTGACTGTAAAGTGCCACCTTCATCTTCTTCTAGCACAACATATATACATGATTTTCTCCACAATATCTTTATGATGGCTCTAAAGTGATCTCCAGGGAGTACACTTGTCCTGAGATAATTACTGGCCTGTACTATATGCAACTCTTGGCTGCTCTTCATGCTTTAGGATATCCCAAGAGAATAATCACCATATTATAATATCGTTTCTATTGTGATTTAATATCTTCTTACACTGATTGACAAGGCAGTCAAAATTAAAGTAATTTATCTGGTACCCATAGTTTTCTAGCACAGTTTAAAGAGAGGAGTAATTGGGTAATACTGCTCAGAATAGTAGTTACCCTTCTTTCTGACAGACTGTCTTAGCGATCTACATTTAAAAAGCTATGATGAAGTATATGACATCTGGCAAACTCATTTTTCTCAAACTCTTCTTATAATCAGCGGTAAGGTCTCATAGAGTGTTCTCTACCTAAAGATACACAAAGCATTTCTACTCTTACAGTCTTCAGATCTTAACACAGAGAGTGTCTGGCACTTGAGCAGTTCAGACAGGGGTCTTGTTAAGGTTAGATCTCCGCTGCCAGGATGGGGCTTTTGTGCAAAGCTAATCCCTGTCCCCAAATGTAGGAGTAAGTCAACTAGGAGGAATTGCACAAGCTGACATCACTGACCGGTGAAGGGAGTAGGTAATTGCTGAGGAAGCCTGTGTGGTTATATCTTTCCTGGGAGATTCACCCAACTATCCTCCTAGACTTACCAAGGAATGCGATGTACATCTTGGTCATACAAAAATGTGGGTGTGCAGCTTCTGGGGCTACAGGCGTTGGCTGTTCCTGACCACGTGGGACCTTCACTGAGCTTCAGGGTTGTATACCAAAGTTACATGGTAACTTCTCTCCTTACTCTGCTCCTAACCTCCATGGCACTTACCTGCTAGAACAGCCCCATTTGCTCAGGGGCACAGCCTACATAATTTTTGAAGATGATGTGATTTATGTCAGAAAGAAGACCATTTCATGGACAGTTGTATTTTGAAAGAAAAAGTGGAAACAGGTCAGAGACAACTTGGAAAACTTAGAAATAAACAAGGTATTTGCAAATTCAAATGGTACACGTCTAATTGTCAAACATAGGATGACTGCCTCTTAAAGACAGGAGTCTGCTTTTGTGAATTTAGTGATTGCACATGGTTTTGAAATATATGCACCTGCTTTCACAGAAAGAAAAGCCTTAATTTCACAGTGCATATGGAAAGCAGCAAGGAAGCATATGGAAAGAAGTCTACAAACTGTTTAAATAATTACATGATTTATTCTGCGAGGTAAAGTAAAGGTATATGAGATTTTCTGATTCTCTTGCTCCAAAAGAAAGGATAGGGAGGAGGAACAATATGTTCATGATTCTTGATGCAAATTATGATTTGTTCTTTAGATATTTATGAAACTATTATCTTTATTTCCTCTCATATAAATTGATTTGCAGGAAAATTAATAAAAGAAATTACATACACAAAAACTTTGCCCATAACTGCTGCATACTCAAATTGATAAATGTGAACCATACTCAGTGTGATATTTAACAGAAATGAAAATATGATGGTGCTAAAGTTAAATCTCTTTTTTTCTCTTCATTGCTTCTGCTATTAAATGAAAGGAAATCTGAATATTATGCATCATGACAATGGACCCTTACATAGTGAAATAGCATTTAGCGTTATTAAAATGTGAGTTATTCTTGTAATTGCAACTTTTTTCAACAATAAAACAGTGATTGATATACATAATATTTCGCTTATAAGTCACAGAAAATACAGTCGCAGTAAATTTCTTGAAGCAATTAAGTTGTCTTTTGTTAACATCGAAATTACAGCCAAAGAATATTTATTAGCTTAATAAATGTATTTGTTGCATATATAATTGAGATTAAAGTGGAAACTAATCCAAACTGAATCAAAATGCGTTTTTACACATAATATGCTTCTAATAATATGTCTGTTTGCTTGGACGGATAGATAACCACAAACTTAATCAATGTTACCTTGAAGCAAAAGTGGAAAAATACTGCCAGAAAACTCAACACAGGATGGAAGCTTTAAAAACAGTGAAAAGCCAGTCCAGTGCTAGTTAAGGATGGAGAACCAATGACTGGAGTCCATGCTCTACAACACTTTTTTCTTTCGTGCTGTAGTAGTGGGATTTCTCTGTTTTCTATGTAGAAAATAAGAATGAGAGCTTTCCCCTACTTCGTGGGTATGTTCATCACCTCATAGGTACGTTTGTCTCCACATGTTGTAAGATCATAAAGAAAGGTCTCAGATGCTGTGGTAACAGTTGCTTATGGGCCTGAGAGAGACTGAATCATTCAAAATTTAAATAAATCAAACACTTCCTTCAGAAGTGTTCTCTAATCCTTAGCTAAAAGCATAGTTTCCTGTTCCAGTAATAGTTCTCATAACACCAGCTGCAGCCTTTTCAGGTCTATATGGTCCGATATGTGACCAATATAGATTTATATGACCAATATGGACAAAAAGACAGTGCCTTACAGATAAGTATGGTGCCCATACACAAAAACAAAAAATGTAGATATTATCAGGAGCTTACCCTGCCTGTAAAATTATCTCCACTGAATAAAATTTACCCATGTGCAGAAGGACAATGTGATTGCTGCCCATAATGCAGACGCATTTCCCAAAATATAGAAGAGGAATTCGTTTTGGTCAACATTGCTATCAGCCCCAGGTTGATAGAATAATTTTATATTTTTAGTTTAGGTCCAGAAGCCATGTTGAGAAATGTTAATTTATGTCTGTCAAATATTTTTCTCACTGTCGGCATTATGTCAGAAAAACATTATAGTGAAATCAGAAAAAAAGAAAGTTAGTCAACTGGTTTCATTATGTCCTTGCCATGAGTGACGCCGTTTTGTGTGTGCATTGCAGACCATTATGCACAGTTATCACCTCAGAGTCGTGTGGGCTCCCATCCGAACTGTGGAGCTGCATCTCTGAACAAAACCTCGTAGACTCTACAAGGGCACTGAGGCTGCCAAATACCAATCCAAACGCTAGTTCCTAGGAGGACTCCAGGAAGACATTTTCTACCTTTTGTTCTTTTAGACTTGCGGAAGTTCAGGGCAGAGTAAAAGTGGATGAAATTAGGCTACTTATTCCTTTTTTTTTTGTTTTTTATCTAATCACATGAAAGAAACATACTAGGGAGAAATGAAAAAGACATTTGTTTGTAAAGCCTAAGAAAATCAAAAGAACAAAGAAAAGCCTGTAAGAACAATTCATGTAAAATAAAATACAGCATGCAGGCAAAATAATGCCATGGTAACATGCAATAAAAGCTTTCATAGCTCAAACAAGGGTGATTTCCAAAGTCACTTTTGAAACAGGCTATTATATAGATTGTACAGGTTCTTCCTATTGGGGTCAACAACCCATTTGCTATACTTTGCCAATGTATTTTCTATAGTTGTTACATTTTTTAAAAAAAAACAATGTTTGGAAGAGATTTTCTTTTTAATTATTTTTGCTACCACATTTGTTTGTGACCATTAAGACAGACTCTTTTTGCATGAAGACTGAGTACTCACTATGTAGGCAAAATACCTATTTTAGAAATTTACAAAAATTTTTTATCTAAAAAAGCTTCCTTAATAAGTGTTACTGTCATAATGCAAAGTTTCAGTATCTTTTTATCAGTTATAAAATAGAGGCCTATTGTGCTTTTGGGAAGTCACACTTCTTGGATTCCTATCTTTGAAGGTTAAGTGAAGTATCACGTGCTAAATATTTCTCTAATTCAAAGTTAAATGTTGCTGTTTCAGGACCAAACCTTGGAAGAAAAATTCCATGTGAAAAATTCCACAAGGAAAAGCATATTGTTTTCTTTTAAATACTGTAGCTGTTTGAAGCTAAATTCAGAGATTTGGCTGAAGTGTTGTAAACTTTCCATTTCTAAGCAAAGGATGAGTCTATTTTGTGCATATGCACATGTTTGTTCTAGGTATATAGTAAGAGTGGCACTGAAGTCCTGCCATGATTTCTTCTGGGTCTCCAAATAACGTATCTGAAGTAGTGTTTAGTCTTTGTATTGACTTTTGGCATCAGGAGAAACAGAAAGAAAGGGAAGGAAAGGCTCTGTTCCTCTGGGTTTCTAGATCTCGATGATTTATTCTAGAAAGCTCCAAATGAATTGCCCTGGATGAAGTGAAGCAACTCCTGGCAACAGGAGTTTTGCCATTGTTCAATGGGATCAAGACCTCACGCCAAACTGCTGCATGTAATTCCACTGCATGGTGTCAGAAGTAGAAAAACAGCCTTTTCCTCACAAATTATTTGCCTGCATCTTTGCTTTCCGGTGGTTTGTAAAATAAGTGAAATATGCACGCCTGAGCATCCAGCTGTTACTTTTGGCAGCCCTCCAGCATTGTAGGTTATAGCATCCCAGGGTTACAAATTAACACCATCATGCTGGGGAAGTGTTCTTTCATTCCAAGCTTCTGTTAAGTAGAGCACAGCATAAAGTTATACGTATTTGTTCTCCTCTGGATGACAGGATTGACCTTCAACCAAATATTTAAGAATATATGCAGACCGTGATGTGCTCCAAGCTGCATGATTCAATGGGAAGGAAGCACACCACTATAGGAGGTCATCAAGAAAGTAAGATAAAACAGCACTCTGAAAGGAACAGCAGCAGGACATCACTGAAAATATTATCAAAGAAAGAAAACGGTTTTCTTAAAGGGCAGCACTCTCCATGGCAGAGGTAATATATTTGTATTGCAACACTTCTAGGACATACATGATTTTCGATAGAATATCATGGCATTCAGATAAAATACCACGCACAAAAGGAATTTCTGCAAGCTACTGTCTGTTTCCAGAAATTGTCTGAATTCTGTGTCTGCCACAATAGAAGACTTGTGCAGTCTAAAATGAAAAAATTCTCCAGCATCCTCACCTAATAAAAATATTTCTGGAAACATCTCTGTGAAATGGACACAGATTAAGTATTGGGAAAAGTTGTATACTTTTATACCACACAGTTTTATAATTTAGGTAGGTGGAAACATGTTAAAACTTACGTGATTGTTACAAACATTTTTTTGTAACATTAACTGTAGATGTGATATAGAGCAGATGTGGTAAGAGCGCATTATAGAAAATATGTCTTTGCAGTCTCAATTTTTTTCTTCATAATGTATTTCTTAAGGGAGAATTTGTGATCTTACATATATAGGTCAAAAACAATATTTTTAAAGAAAGATACGAGACCAATATTCTTCTGGGTGTTCTGTTAGCTCCAGCTAACAGCTGACAAGTTCCAGCTGATCTCCCTAGACTCCACAAGTCCCACTTGAGCGGTTAAATAGTGTTTCTCTTAGCAAACCTCTAATATTCAGTCGTCTTCCTTTTGTGCTTTTTAATGCAATTATACACAATCTGAGACACCTGCAGTCTCTCCATGCTGCGTTGGACTGTCTCATATGCGCACATACTGTAATATAATAATGCATTATGTTTTAAATAAGGTTTGAATGTACGATGATTATAATGCTCAAATATGTAACATTAAAGACTATCTGGAGGCAAAGGAATGTCAGAACAAATATAGGATGAGAATAACAGTTACATAAAACTAGACTTCTAAGTAAGTAAGTAACAGTCAGGCATGGCACCTGCAGATGTCAACACAAATAATGATTATGAAGTGTAAATTCGTATCTGAATAATAGTGTAGTGTAACCATGCCATGAACCCTGTACTTTGGCTGAACGTTATAGAATCTCTCCTTCCGTAAAACTTGCCCAATTTTTTTGCACTACTGTAGTTTTTAATGTTTAATATGCTAAAATAAATTCAAACAAACACCTACATTCAAATGGTATGCATAGTAGTTGGCTTGTTTTAAAAAAAAGCTTCCCACCTTTTAAAAATCATAGCTACGGCTATGTTTATTAAAAATGCTAATTGATTTAATTTCAGGCATTGGACAAACACCTCACAACTTCAAAATGTGTTTAAAATTGTATGATATGAACAGTTAATCGTACTGGTTTATCTGGACATAATTTGATTACCTTAATTCTGTCAGAGCTCTACAGCATTAGAAATGTAACAATAGTGGTTTACATTAGAACGATCCTACGGATCAGAATAATAATCCAACTGGTACCATATCCTATCTCTGACAGTGGCCAGTTAGAGATGTATATACCAAGTAAAGCAAAAATAGATAATCCTTGAATATTTCCTCCAAGTTTTAAAAATCAATAGTTTATGGATTATTATGTTAGATTGTCCCTCATTGTGTGCACTAGCTTTTGATGGATCTTCTTCGACTGATTTATTTAATTATTTTTAACCTATTTTGGCTACTGCTAAATCCTATGGCAAAGTTATATAATTTTATAATTGCTATTTCCGTTCATTTCGTTTAAACCAGCTGCTTTTAAGTGTGTGCCACCTAGTTAAGATGTTTTTGTAGGAAAAAGTGAAGAGATTTTATGAGCCATCCCTTTTTCAAGCTGAGTAATATCTTCGTATGTGGAAGCCACTCTGGTTAGCTTCAGCATGCTTTTCTATATCTCTTCTAGCGCTTTTGGAAAGTATTATCTCTATTTTCTATTACAGTATTTATTAATTTTCTTTGTACATGTTCCAGGACCACCTAGATTTCTCTAGGAAGCTGGAATTGCACAAGCAATTTTCCTTTCCTCTGGCAATAAAGCTGATCTAAAAGATAACTAATATACTTACTGTACTGGCAATTTCGTATTGAATTATTGAGAAAATATCTCTTGATCTGTGTAATTTATTAATATTCATTTTACTGATCTATTTTTGAAAATGATCTATTAGCCTGTCTAACTGAAACAATTCTTCAGACTTACCTCCTGCAGAGAAAGGCTGCAGTATGAGCTTTCCTTAAGTTTCTCTACTATGAAGTTCAAAGCATGGAGTTGTTCAGATTTTCTGCTGCAGCTTTCTCTTCTTGGCATATACTTTTTGTACCTAGAGTATCTATTGAATGTAAAATTGTTGATCTTTAGCACAGGACTGTAAGGCCATTCAGCTATGAGGCAGGTGTCATGCTTCTGAAAAGTTTGTGAAATTACTAATAGTTGTGGTGTCTTTACTAAGATATTCTTCAAAAATCTTGTGTTTTCTCTAGCATTATTGATGGTTTCATATTTATATTGTGAGAACTAATGCTTTTCCTCTTCTGATTTACTCCTAAGTATCATATCTTCAATGTATTTTTGCTGTGAGAGCTTCCTTTTTCATTTTCATAATAAGGCCAATTTTTCAGAGAGGTTGCCTTTTAGACCTACTATTGGTATGATGTTATTTTTATTCTGATTGGCTAGTGTGATATCTTTAGATGATTTACATACTGTATTTTACCCTTTCAGCTGCTCCTTTTCATTTGCTTTTTTACAAGCTTCACATATCTGTGTACCTCTGGTAATTGAAGGTAAGCAGTAGTATTATGGATAATTAATGCTGTTGTTCTTTTCTTCTATAAGGATATAGGTCACTGTTACAAAGCCACTATGTGACTGAGGTATTTTGAACCAAATCCTGCCCTTCTTCAGAACTAAATCAGTGTCTTTTTTCTGTTTTTGTGGATTCTGCTTCAAGAAGCAGTATGATTGCAGAAATCTGTGTTATATACCATCTAGCATTTATCCACTGTGGATTCTGTTTTTGTAATGGGTTTACTGACCACTCTTGGAGGAAAATATCCATGATTCAGTTTAATTGAACCTTTCTTCTGACTTGAAAATAAATCAAACAAACTGCTAATCTTACTTACTCATACACAGTGGATTGTATTTGCTATTAAAAAGGGTCCCAGAATTATTTCAGGAACCTTAATTTCAAAAGGATCCTGGGAAATGTAGTTCACATAGCAAGAAATGGAAGAAAAGCGATATTTGAACAGAGAAGGAAGCAAAGTCTTCCAAAAGCTGAAGAAGGTGATATGAAGAGAAGTTTAAAGATAAAAGCAAATTTCTCCAGAGGCTGGCTGTAGGGGTAGCCTATAGAGAAACTGTGGAATTTTACAAGAGCGAAATAAAAGAGCCTACAGAGAAGAATGGAGACTAACTCCTCTGTTGAACTTAATGTTTACTAAAGTACACAGCACTCAAACAGTAACTCTCAAAAAAACCCCAAAACCCCATAAGAGTAAATTGCGTCTACATGGAGAAAGAAAAACTGGAAAATGTGCTTTAATGTAGACTTTTGTTGTTTGGATCAGGTGGATTTTGGGTTCTGATGAGACAACAATGAAGGTTCCAAGAGAAAATGAAGAAATAACTGTTTTCCCATATTAATAAGATGTGTTTTTATTGTACTGAGTCTTTAAACTCACTACGTACTAGTTTTGTACTTTGTACTAGTACTCCGTCTCTGACATAGCAAACATACTAATGGCACTTCATATAAATGCCATTATAAATGAAATGCTGAATTGGAAGTCTAGCTACAAATTGCCAATCTGCATAACCCATAAATGACTTTTAATAATCCATAAAAGGAAAAAGGCTGTATTATTTTAAAGATAATGTGTTGTTGGGTGTATTGTTGCTGTATCCCTCAAGCAGTTCACTTCTGCAGAAGTCAGCTGAGTTCTACAGTTGTATTCTTTCACTTAGGGAAATCTCCTAATACCTCAGGTGGAGTAAGGTCTGCAGAATCTAATCCTTGCAGCCCAACTCTCCAAGGATATGTAAGATGTTATATCTGTAGATATAGGTAAGATGTTTTTGTAGCTGTTCAGATAATGTATCCTTCCTTTCTGGCCTGCTATCCTAGAATGAATAGCTGAAATTTGGGAATTAGAGCTAAAACTAAACAGGCAAGAAATGTGAATTGCATCATGTCATTGTACTATGCAGTGTAAGTATGTGCTTTATGTGAAAAATTTAACATTGGCTCTGTGAAAACTCTACAGAAGTACAGCGATTACTTTGAGGGTTTTTTTATGTTAATGTGCTTCTACCTTAGAACACTATTGAGGCCTCACTAAAGGGCATCGTTACCTAACGTATGCATGCTGTAATCCTGTCTAGAGCATATAACCAGACTGGGTCCATTTAGTGAAATGATGTCTTATAAAGCTAGGATCAGCTCTTAGAGTTCCTGTATTTACTAGTCAGCCTTAGTCACTGATGACTACTCAAGTGTTGATGGTGAATTACAAAGAATCACTGCTTTATGGTGAATTACAAAGAATCACTGCGAGAGAGAAAAACAGTTTTTCTTTTTGGAAAAGCTGATTATCTGGTAATGTAGAAATGCCAGTGTAGGTGCTTTATAATCCATGCCAAAGAAAGATTCCTGTGTTGCTGATATTTTAGTACATTACACAAAATAGTCAGAAGGATAAAACTGCGTGGCTGAGATTCAAACATGCTGGTAAAGCACAGTGTTTGGATGCTTGATGATCTTTGTAGCCCCTATAGCTCCCATTTGTGTTACAGCAGAACCCTTAGGCTCTTTGTCCTGGGACGGCATCTTGTTAGCAAGCAGCAGACCCCCCAGCAGCAGCAAAAGCTTAGGGCATTGCTGCGTAACTGCCCGCGAAGGGTAGTTTCCTTAGAATTCTGCCTAAGAGACGTGATTGCTAATTTGATTTGTGGAAGAGCAAAACCTTGGCAAATTAAAAGCAGGAAATACTCCCAAGTGATTTGCTGCAAAGCAGAATAAATGAATTACTGTTTTTAATGAATGATATTCCATTAATTTCCTGTAATA